ACAGAGTTAAATCGGAGGCTGCCATAGTGAAGAGCTCTGTTCCACAAGGCACAGTACTCACCCCCATCTTATTCCTTATCCTCATATCAGACAAAAAGAGATATACATCACAGCACCGTATCATCCTTTGCGGATGATACTAGGATCTGCATGAGGCTGTCATCTGCTGAGGACGCGGTTAACCTCCAAGAAGATATAAACAAAGTTTTCCAGTGGGCAACGGAAAACAATATGATGTTCAATGAGGACAAATTCCAACTACTCCGTTATGGAAAACTGGAGGAGATAATAACTAGAACAGAGTATATTCAGACTCTGGCCATACAATAGAGCGGAAAAATAATGTAAGGGACCTGGGAGTAGTAATGTCTGAGGATCTCACTTTAAGATAAGATAAGATAAGATTTCGTTCGGATTTTTAACCCCGTAGGGTTAGCCACCCAGGATAACCCAAGAAAGTCAGTGCGTCATCGAGGACTGTCTAACTTATTTCCATTGGGGTCCTTAATCTTGTCCCCCAGGATGCGACCCACACCAGTCGACTAACACCCAGGTACCTATTTGCTGCTAGGTGAACAGGACAACAGGTGTAAGGAAACGTGTCGGAATTTCCACCCGCCGGGAATCGAACCCGGGCCCTCCGTGTGTGAAGCGGGAGTTTTAGCCATCAGGCCACCGGGCCACTTTCAAGGATCACAACAGTGCCACGATCGCACGTGCAAAGAAAATGATAGGATGGATAATGAGAACGTTCAAAACGAGAGATGCCAAGCCAATGATGATCCTTTTCAAATCACTTGTTCTCTCTAGGCTGGAATACTGCTGTACATTAACATCTCCATTCAAAGCAGGTTAAATCGCAGATCTAGAGAGTGTACAGAGATCCTTTACTGCACATACAAGTTCTGTCAAGCACCTTAACTACTGGGAACGCTTGGAAGCACTTGACTTGTACTCGTTGGAACGCAGGAGGGAAAGTTATATCATAATCTACACTTGGAAAATCTTGGAAGGAATGGTCCCAAATCCGCACACAGAAATCACTCCCTACGAAAGTAAAAGACTGGGCAGACGATGCAAAATGCCGCCAATAAAAAGTAGGGGCGCCATTGGTACACTAAGGGAAAACACCATAAATGTCCGGGGCCCAAGACTGTTCAACAGCCTCCCATCAAGCATTAGGGGAATTGCCAATAAACCCCTGGCTGCCTTCAAGAGAGAGTTGGACAGATACCTAAAGTCAGTGCCGGATCAGCCGGGCTGTGGCTCGTATGTTGGACTGCGTGCGGCCAGCAGTAACAGCCTAATGGATCAGGCCCTGATTCATCGGGAGGCCTGGTCATGGACCGGGCCGCCGGGGCGTTGATCCCCGGAATAACCTCCAGGTAACCTCCAGGTAACCGCGTGTTCGACTATAAAGGAACTCCATGCGCATATGTCCTAAAATTTGAAAGTTGTTTATTTGCTTTTAAGTGTGTAAGCAATTTATACTTAGGCTTTCAAGCAAAATTTTCAATGTTTTTAAAACAGTCTTGAGGGCACACACATATTACGGGCCCATTAAGGAGTATATGGAGGATATATGGATAGAAAAAAAGAGGGGAAGGAATGTAAAAGGGGTACAAATGAGAGTGGTGAGATGCTTTCAACAAACTTTGGAATGAAAATTAATTAGCTGAGAAATCCTAGGGAACAAATGGGTTTGACAGTTAAAAATAGGAGACCAGCGTTATCAGATGGAGAATTAAAGGTATCGGGAAGACGGAAGGAATATTTTAAGGAACTGTTAAATGTTGATGAAGATAAGGAAGCTGTGAGGTACAACATCTTGCAGGCGTAAGAGGCAGCTGTGAGTGTGGGTGAGGTGTGCGAGGCAGAGGGTAGAATGAAAGGCAGAAATGTTAAAAACAGGTGGTGATATAGTTTTGGATTGGTTGGTACTTTTATTTAATAAATGTGTGGAAGAGGGTGAGGTACCCAGGGACTGGTAGAGAGCATGCATAGTTCCTTTCTATAAAGGCAAAGGGGACAAAAGATAATATAAAAATAATAGGGGAATAAGCGTGTTGAGTATACCTAGTAAGATTCTGGTAGAGTTATTATTGAAAGAATTAAGAGTAAGATGGAGAGCAGGACTGCAGATAAACAAGGAGGCTTTAGGAAGGGTAGAGGGTGTGTAGACCAGGAGTTTACAGTGAAACATAAATGAATAGTATTTAGATAAGTGTAAAGAGGTTTTTGTTGTATTCATGGATTTGGAAAAGGCATATGATAGGGTGGACAGGGGGGGGGGGAGCAATGTGGCAGATGTTGCAGGTGTATGGTATAGGGGTAGGTTACTGAAAGCAGTGAAGAGTTTTTACGAGGATAGTGAGGCTCAGTTTAGGTATGTAGGAAAGAGGCCTACTTTTACTTCCCAGTAAAAGTAGGCCTTAGACAGGGATATAAGATGTAACCATAGTTGTTGAATATTTTTATAGATGGGGTTGTAAGAGCAGTGAATGCTCGGGTGATGGTAAGAGCTGTGGGGTTAAAAAATGAAGAATCTAACACAAAGAGTGAGTTGTTACAGTTGTTTTTTGCTTATGACACTGTGCTTTTGGGAGATTTTGAAGAGAAGTTACAGAAGTTGGTGGACGAGTTTGGTAGGGTATGTAAAAGGAAATTAAAATTGAACATAGGAAAGAGCAAGGTGATGAGGATAACAAAAAGTTTAGGTAATGAAAGACTAGATATCAGACTGGAGGGAGAGAGTATGGAGGAAGTGAATGTATTCAGATATTTGGGAGTGGACGTGTCAGCAGATGGGTCTATGAAAGACGAGGTGAATCATAGAATAGTTGAGGTGAAAAAGGTGAGTGGTGAACTAAGGAGTGTGTGGAGACAACGTTATGCATGGAAGCAATGAGGGGAATGTATGAGAGTACAGTTATACCAATGCTCTTATATGGGTGTAAAGCATGGGTGGCGAATGTTGAAACAAGAAGGCTGTAGGGAGTGGAGTATAATGCAGAGTGGAGTATAATGCAGAGTGGAGTATAATGCAGAGTGGAGTATAATGCAGAGTGGAGTACAATGCAGAGTGGAGTATAATGCAGAGTGGAGTATAATGCAGAGTGGAGTATAATGCAGAGTGGAGTACAATGCAGAGTGGAGTATAATGCAGAGTGGAGTATAATGCAGAGTGGAGTATAATGCAGAGTGGAGTATAATGCAGAGTGGAGTATAATGCAGAGTGGAGTATAATGCAGAGTGGAGTACAATGCAGAGTGGAGTATAATGCAGAGTGGAGTATAATGCAGAGTGGAGTATAATGCAGAGCGGAGTATAATGCAGAGTGGAGTATAATGCAGAGTGGAGTATAATGCAGAGTGGAGTACAATGCAGAGTGGAGTATAATGCAGAGTGGAGTATAATGCAGAGTGGAGTATAATGCAGAGTGGAGTATAATGCAGAGTGGAGTATAATGCAGAGTGGAGTATAATGCAGAGTGGAGTACAATGCAGAGTGGAGTATAATGCAATGGGAGTATAATGCAGAGAATACGTAGTTTGGAAATTAGTAAGAGGTGTGGGGTTGCTAAAAGTATTATCCAGAGGACTGAGGAAGAGTTGTTGAGGTGGTTTGGACATTTAAGGAGGAAGGAAGGAAAGAAAAAGAATAACTTGGAGAACGTATAAATCTGTAGTGGAAGGAAGTCGGGGTAGGGGTCGGCTTGGTAGGAAACGGCCGATGTGATAATAAAAAAAATAAAAAAAATATTACGCATATTTAACCTAATATATCCCAAGAAAGTCAAACACTGTGACTTATTTTTGATCAGAAGAGAACTTCTCCAGTTATGGCACAGAATCCAAATAAACATTGCACCCACCTAGAACAAATCAGATTTTTTTTATCCATTTCATGAGTTGCATCAGGTATTAAAGAGTGATGTCATGCAGGATAGTTTTATTTTAATCAGAGGAAGCACTCAACCAGTGTGGCTCATATAACGACTGGGTAATCAGAGGCATTCAGACTCGATCTATGGAAGGGAAGGATAATAAGTTCAGCTCTCTTTATCAATAGATTTTCACCAGCACAAAGGCAGCCTCCTTGAGAATGCATAATCTAGTTAAATAATCCAAATACTGTACGATTTCGAGATTGAAAGTGGCAACACAAATTTCCTTTTTAAGTAGGTTGCACGACTGCTGAAATATTGAATCCAATTAAAAGAGGCTTTCTGGAGTTATTACATGGAAAACAATTTTGAAAATGATCTACATAAAACTGAAAAAAGGCACCCTGCTCTTGTCACTTATTCCATGAACCTTTCCCTAGTAATAATTCACCATGGTTGAAAATTTGAAGCTGATGAAATAAGGCGTCCTGAAGGAAGACAGTGGAAGACAAGGACACATCGCCTAACAATATGACTGGCTCTTGCATGAACTTGTATTTCCTCAGAAATGTTTTGAACTGTGTATGTGTCGTTATCTAAATACTGTCGGTATCATCATACTTTTATTTCTACAACTACATGATACAACTTGGTCACATGAAGTCAATACCTGGCGAAACGTTCCCAAAATAAAGATAACTAAGTGATTGTCAAGTGTTTCATTTATCAAGACAAGAGAAAGGTGTGGTGGCAGGACGAGTAAGGTAGGTGTAATGGCAGGGAAAGTGATGCAGGTGTGGTGGCAGGACATGTGAGGCATATGTAATGCAAGACAGGGGAGGGAGACTAGTGCTGTACTCACACGCAGGCTGTCTCTCTCCAGTGGTGGTGGTAGGGCAGGGGAAGCAGAGAAGTGCGTTACTCACCTGCAGGCTTTTTCCCCCTCTAGCAGTGGTAGCAGGACAGGGGTGCAAGCATGTGCGTTACTCACCTACAGGCTGCTTCTCTCCAGAGGTGGTGGCAGGACAGGGGATGCAAGCGTGTTACTCACCCGCAGGCTCTCTCTCTCCAGGGGTGGTGGAGTGCAGGGGAGGCAAGCAAGTGCGTTACTCACCTGCAGGCTGTCTCTCTCCAGGGGTGGTGGCAGGACAGGGGAGGCAGGCAGGTAGTGTTGACACACACATCCGGGGCAACACAACCTTGGTGCAGGTTGTGGTGTCTGTTAGACTGGTCCCACTCACTCGTGTTACCATCATGTGTGAGAGCGATGGGGTGATCCATCACTCGAACATCGTCTACACAACCTGTGCGTGTGAGAGACTTTGAAGGAAATTCTTACATAATATATACAGGTGTTTTATACACAAAAACTGCCAGTCCCATTATATATGATCGTCCACTTCTGACATTCTTATAAACTTATGCACAGGGTACTTCTCCTAGTTCTTATTATTACTAGACAAAGCTGCTCTGATTAGATTATTTTACTTACAATTATAACCTGCCTGATTCTTTCTCTACTTCCTTCTTCAATCATAATCTGAATTACAATACAGTGGACCCCCGGTTCCCGATATTAATCCGTTCTGAGAGCTCATCGTAAACCAAAAATATCGGAAAGCGAATCAATTTTCCCCGTAAGAAATAATGGAAATCAAATTAATCCGTGCAAGACACCCAAAAGTATGAAAAAAAAACTTTTACCACATGAAATATTAAGTTTAGTGCAATAGAATAATTACAATAACAACAATAACAATGGATTAATAACAATAGAATATAATTGACACTTACCTTTAATGAAGATCTGGTGGTGATTGATGGGATGGGAGGAAGAGTGTGTGCTGAACCTATTGCATAGAAGGGGAATCCCCCTCCAGTAGCACTGGAGGTTTACCTGGAGTTTACCTGGAGAGAGTTCCGGGGGTCAACGCCCCCGCGGCCCGGTCTGTGACCAGGCCTCCTGGTGGATCAGAGCCTGATCAACCAGGCTGTTACTGCTGGCTGCACGCAAACCAACGTACGAGCCACAGCCCGGCTGGTCAGGAACCGACTTTAGGTGCTTGCCCAGTGCCAGCTTGAAGACTGCCAGGGGTCTGTTGGTAATCCCCCTTATGTATGCTGGGAGGCAGTTGAACAGTCTCGGGCCCCTGACACTTATTGTATGGTCTCTTAACGTGGTAGTGACACCCCTGCTTTTCATTGGGGGAATGTTGCATCGTCTGCCAAGTGTGCTGCCAAGTCTTTTTCCGGGGTTACTTCCCTTCTTCTTTTAATGCCACTAGGACCAGCTTGAGAGTCACTGGACTTCTGTCTCACAACATATCTGTCCATAGAGACCTGTACCTCCCGTTCCTTTATGACTTTCCTAAGGTGGTTCACAACAGTGTCATTGTACAGGTTGCCAACACAGCTTGCAGTAGCTGTCTGAGGGTGATTTTCATCAAAAAAGCTTTTCACTTCAAGCCACTTTGCACACATTTCTCTAATCTTTGAAGTAGGCAACTGCTTCACTTTCTCTATTCCCTCCTCCGAAGCAGTTTCCTCAGGTCTGGCCTCTTGCTGTTGAAGATGATTTAGCAGGTCATCAGTGGTTAGTTCGTCATTGTCCTCCTCCACCAAATCTTCCACATCCTCCCCACTAACCTCCAACCCCAAGGACTTCCCCAATGCCACTTTTGTACTTTGCAATTACCTCTTTCTTCATTTCAATAGTCAATAGCACCCTTGGTCTGGAAGGGTTGGCACTAGAAGCTTCCTTGGGGCCCATGGTGACTTATTTTGCAGAAACAAGCACCAAAAACAGTGATAATATGGATGTTATGGAATGTACCGAATGTATCCTTTGATGCGCGCACACTGGCTGGCTTGTAAACACTGGTACACAGGGGGGAGTTCAGGCCACAACTGGACACGTCTTGTACGAATTGTATCGCATACCGGGTTTTGTATCGGGAAGCAAGGCAAAATTTTTTCGATCAAATGCATCGGAAACCGAATTTATCGGATACCGGTAACATCGGGAACTGGGGGTCCACTGTAGCTATTTTCAATTAAATAACTACTTTTCAAATCTTTAAAGTTTATTTTAAACTATCATTGTTTTAATTGTAAAACAGTTGTAGAGAATTACTTACATTGTTGGAGGTCATGATTTACTTTTGCTAAGGTGGTGCCAACGAACTCAGGCAGGCCTCCCATAGTCACTGTGTCCACTGTGAGAGGTACGGGTGCCACGGAGGCCAGGTCTTGCGTGCCACCATGGAGGGTGCTGGAGTGAAAAGACTCCCAAGACCCGTTCTGCCGCCAGCCATCGCTGTCATCCACTCCGATGATGAGGTTAGGTCCGTGGCGGCCAACTCTTACTGTGTGCCACGCACCGTCTCCCAGGGGAAAGGTCTCTAGACACACCTCCTGTCTGCCCTGCCTCGGTCCAGACATGGAGGCACAAGCAACACCGCTACGCAGCTGTTATAAATGTGTTAAAATTATTTAGGCAGCATCTTTCCATGACCAGTTTCACATTTTCCTAGCTTTTCTAAATAGGCATTTGTAATCTGGCATAAATGGAACCAGATATGACCTCTGAATACTATGGTCAAAACAGAAGTTAATGCGTTCGTAGTTTTCATTGCAAAATTATTTAGTGACTGTAACAAGCATGACATGAGCTAATCAGTAAATTAGTAAAAATTCTTTAGTAATTTCTGTCATTTTTTTTTTTTGCAAATTTAACTGACGTTTAACTTTATTTAAATTTTTCAAAAACTAGTGAAATAAATATGAAAATGATTACTACTTGGTATTATCTCTTGGGGAAAAGTAAAACACTGTCAGAATAAAAATATACGCTAATAATCGCAAAATGAATGAGATAATATTCTTGTAATCACTGAAGCAGGATACTATAATTATCAAGAGCATATAGGCCTACCTTGAAAGAGCATATAGGCCTACCTTGAAAGGTCTTTACACAATGAGATGATCTTTATTCGTAGTGATTAGATTTATTAACATGATTTTTAAATGTAGTTACAGTGTGGCCTTCATAATCCAGACCATGGCCAGAACTTAAACAATGACTGTATAATGACACAACCTCTAGTTTTAAGTTAGACGAGTGGTGTGTGGAGGGTAGGAACATCAGGAGTCCATGAGGGTGTCCCCTCGCTCTCACTCGTAGCTGCAGCATTATATGGTACGGATCTTGTGAGAAGGGAAGAGCCACCTTCATGTATGATGCTTTGCCAAGACTAACGGGAACAGTGGGTGAAGAACACTGAAACCCTGACCATCCTGGCTCACAGTCACATCTCGGGGCGATGAGACCACCAGCACAGCTGCCTCGTATACCACAGAAAGTCAGCTCCTGGCCACAAGCTTTCTCCTGGGGCATACATCCCTTAATGCTGCCACTACTGTGCGCTGGTTCTCCCACATCAACAACCTGAGTAAAAAAAAAAGCCTCATTATATCCTTAAACTTACGTAACATAATAACAAATCACAAGACAAGTTATTTATTTTTCAGAAAGTCCTGTGCGTCTTTTTAAAATAAAACGTAAAAATTTCACTTACGAGAAACTTAATTAAATCTTTCTGAAACATGAATTAAGTATATAAGCCGAATCTTTAAAGATGTCCATCAAAACAAATGTAATATCGTTTTTAAACCATTTATCACAATGTAAAATCGTTTTAAAAACAGGAACGTTACCTCTCCGTTGAGTGTGAGGCGAGAGATACAGCCGTCCAGAGCCTGGTTTACAATGGCGTTCGTCCAGCCGAAATGTTCGGGATATGGGTATGGGTGTGCAAGGCCACCCACCTGCAGCGGAACACCACCGCTCCAGTTCTCTATCACCTGCGGGTCCACCCACGGAGCTCGGGCAGAGCAGTGGCCATCACTGGTTGTATCAGCTGACCAGCCATGTCCACACAGGTCAACTATCAACATCACTCCCTGAAAAGTTTATGAGTGAACAAAATACTTCCCACCACCCATGTATGAACACATGAATGAGATGGGAAGAGTTCTAATATTACCTAATGTTGTATATTCTCAGGGGTCTTGATAAACACTTAATAATGAATGTATGGATATATTCTCAAGGGATTTTGACAGAACTTTAGTCACATATGTATGGATATAATCTGAGGGAATACTTCAGAGATGAGATATCAGTGAGATGGTTTGGGCATTTAGAGAGTGGGGAGCAGACTAAGAGGAAAGAGGTGAATAAATCCAGGGTGAAGGGAAGGAAAGATAGGGGTTGTCTCAACAATGATTTGATGAAAAGTGTGAAGGAGGTTTCAGTGACAGGGGCTCTAGTATCCAGCTGGCTTATGTGAGCATATTAGATCGGAATAAACAGTTACAGTTAGTTTTATGGATTTTACAAGCATATTGAGTGTTAACGTAATATTTACGAAGGGATATAGGGAATCCAGTTGGCTGGATTCATATCTTGGAGGCGGGAAGTACTATACAGTTCTTTAACTCTGAATGAGGGAGGGGATGTAACAGTTTAGAAGCTCAGTTGAAATGTGATGTCTGAGCACTTCTTGCAAGACAGCTGTTTAAAGAATGATAATGTCAGCACTTACCTGAGGGCATAACTCAGTGCATGATGATTGTCCTGTTATTATTATTAGAATGATTTTATTAGTATTTATCAAAATTATTATTAAGATTATTAGGTTATAGTATTTTTTGCACAGGAGAAATGTGTCATTAAACTGTTGCAATATAAATAATAAAGAATTTATGGTAATATTTGTGGTAATAGTGTGATGCTGCAATAATGTGACACGGGTATGTGGTTAGTTCAGCTGGGTACAGTGACCACTAGGTACAAGCTAGTATGTCAGCTGGGTACAGTGACCACCAGGTACAAGCTAGTATATCAGCTGGGTTCAGTGACTACCAGGTACAAGCTGGTATATCAGCTGGGTACAGTGACCACCAAGTACAAGCTGGTATATCAGCTGGGTACAGTGACCAGGTACAAGCTAGTATATCAGCTGGGTACAGTGACCACTAGGTACAAGCTAGTATATCAGCTGGGTACAGTGACCACCAGGTACAAGCTAGTATATCAGCTGGGTACAGTGACCACAAGGTACAAGCTAGTATATCAACTGGGTTCAGTGGCCACCAGGTACAAGCTGGTATATCACATGGGTTCAGTGACTACCAGGTGCAAGCTGGTGTATCAGCTTGGTTCAGTGACCACCAGGTACAAGCTAGTATATCAGCTGGGTACAGTGACCACCAGGTACAAACTAGTGTTTCAGCTGGGTACAGCAACCACCAGGTACAAGCTAGTATATCAGCTGTGTGAGGGAAAAGTTCAATAGATAGGAGTAGCGAGGGAGTATATAGTAACAATAGTTTCATTGCCCTCTACTTGATAAAGGTAGGGTAAGTTCAGCTCCGGCTATTCCCCCCCCCCCTTTTTCCCCCTCCCGAAAGTGATAGTTTGATTGCCGGCTGCTTGTTAAGGTAGGGTCAGTCTAGCTCTGGCTATCCTTTCCCCTCCCTCTTCCCCCCCCCCCCCCCGAAAGGTGACGTGTGGGGCTTCGGTCAAACAGTAAATCACTCGACTCACAGCTCCCAACACTACTGTAAGTACACGCCTGATCATATTTTAGTGGACTTATTGGTTGAAAGCTTCACTTTTGACCAATAATTAACTTAGTCCTTTCAGTCTTGATAGGTTAAAATGTTTTAATAATCACCACATCTTTTAGGTATTGTGCTTATCATGGAGAGTGATTTCTTAAGCAGTGGGTAATCTGTCTCTATTTACAGCTTGAAAGGACAGAGGGGGTCACCTGCATTAGTTGATTATGCTTCGAGTTTCCCTGAAGCCGTACCCTTAAAGACCATAACTACTACAGAGGTGGCTGAAGCCCTTTTGTCCATCTTCTCCAGAGTGGGCATCCCTAGAGAAATTTTGTCTGACCGTGGGACACAATTCACATCTGACTTAATGCAACATCTCTACCAACTTCTGGGAGTGAAGCCTCTCTTCACCACACCCTATCATCCCAGCTGTAATGGGAGGGTTGAGTGCCAGCATTCGATTCTCAAGTCCATTTTAAGGAAACTTTGCTCCCTTAAACCTAAAAACCAAAGGGAGGGGCCGTTACTACCCTGGGTTTTGTTTCCCATGGGAAAAATTTCCAGTGTCTTTGGGGTTTTCACCTTTTGAACTTCTCTATGGTAGACGGCCCAGAGGTCCATTGTCCATTTCTGACTTATGGACTAAGAGGAGGTAAATGCTGGGGGTTTTTTTTCCGTTTCTAACACAAAAAACCCCGAATAAAAGGAAGCTTCGACGATTTTCGGTCGATTGGCCCGAAACGTCGTCGAAAGTTCTTCTTTTATTGAGGTTTTTGTGTATTGCCCCGTCACGTTTTTGTGCCTTTTTGTTTTTCCAGTTTCTCCTTGACCTTAGATCCAAATTGAGGGGGACCTTGTTTAGTTTCAAAAAGTTTAAAGTTGTCAATGGACGGTACAAAACTTTTGATTCCAAAAAGTCAGAGAATTTTAAAAAGTAGGGGAATTTGGGTTTTTTGGGCTTTTGTTATCAAGTCAAAAAATTATTGTAGCATGGAAAGGTCCTATAATTTTAAAAATTTGGGGAAAGTTGATCCTCATGAAGTAAAGGGAAACAAAGCTTTTTTATTAACACCCTTTAAAGAAATTTCCGAAAAAATTTCGGTTAACTCCCTTTAAAAATTTGATTTAGTTTTTCCACACGAACTTGATAAAAAAATAAAGAATGTAAGGTGTGTGAAATTTGACACTCTAACTAGACTATGTAAAAACTACTAAAATTGGGTTTGCTTTGACCACTTGGGGGAACCAAAAATTATTAATGAATTTTGGATGCCCTAAGGACTGAACTACTTCTTGTGTGAGTAACTTTTAGACGTCTTTACTGATATTCCGGGTGTTACCCCCACGGAGTCCATAAGATTGGTTAGGGGCGAAAATCCTTTTCAAACGAAAATTATCCCCTTCCAGTTCACCTTGGGGCTTTTGACCGCGAGGTGGAAAATTATTTAAAATAAAGATCTTGAACCTTCGTATCTGCATTTGTCCCAGTGTAGGTTTAAGAAGGAGGTAATTCATATAGTTTTGCTATTGCTTCAGAGGCTTAATGTTTAAAACCCGGTGGGTTCTGAGTTTTCCCCTTAATAGTTTGCGATCTCCCAAAATTTTATGACTTTTCCCTTCTTTTCAGAGATTGATATTGCGCAGGCATATCATCAAGTAATGTTAAACTTCTTCTAAGCAGTACATGCTTTTCCTACCCACAAGGGACTGATGCAGTAAAGAACTTTGCCTTGGGTTTGGTAACTCCTGTGCTCCCTACGGAGACTGATGGAAAGGTCGGGGGGTAATTCCCAATGTTTCAGTTTTTTTGATAACTTTTACGTAATGACTTCCACGGGGGCGAACATATCCAAACAAAAACATCAGTTTTGATGGTTAGTCCATGCCCATGCCAAGCCGAAGAAATGCTTCCTTGGGTTTAAAACAAGTTAGTATTTTGGTGATATTTTTTTAATACTCTTGCAGCCTCTCCCAGAAGATCAAAGCTTTTTTAGAATTTAAATTCCCCAAAACCAAAAAGTCATGGTAGCTTTTTTGGTTCTGTAAATTTTTATGCCGGTTTATCCGCTTAGATCTTACAGGATCTTTTCCCATTCCTTTTAAAAAATTGTAAGGGAAACCCCTAATTTCCGACGTTTGTGGGAAAAGTTTAATGAGATTTAAAAATATCTTTCGAAAGACCCCTATACTTAAAAAATTCCAGATAAATAAACATTTTGTTTAAGAATGATGCCTCCATTTGGTTAGGTTTGGGGTACTACAATACCCGATGATACTCCCTTCCCTGTTGCTTCCTAAGCCGAAACTCCCTTTCCAGAAACGAGATACTCCCCCTAGAAAAAAGGGAAAGTTTTGGGCCCTTTTGTGGGGATCTCCAAACTTAAATTTTATTTGTGGAAAAGAATTCATTTTGAAACGGCCCCAAAAAATTTTGAATACCTAGAAACTTTTAAGGGAACCAAACAGTGCCTCTTGAGGTGGGGCATTGGCACTCCAGGGTTTTAAATTCCTTTTGTGTATTAATGGTTCATCCAAATTTTTTCCTGAGGTTAAGTGTTTCAGCAGTAGTGATTTGTTGCCTTAACGTTTCCCCTGTTGAACTTTTTTCCCCGCCTTTCTTCTTTTATCCCTTTACTATAAGTCTTTTGGGATGGGGGAGGTGGGGAAAAGTTAATAGATAAAGGGGGCGGGGGATTTGTAACAAAAGTTTCATTGTCGGTACTTTTTAAGTGGGTCAGTCTAGCTCGGGGGTAACCTTCCCCTCCCCCTTCCCCCCCCCCGAAAGGTGACGTGTGGGGCTCCGGTCAAGCAGTAAATCACTCGACTCACAGCTCCCAACATTTACTGTAAGTACACGCCTGATATATTTTAGTGGACTTATTGGTTGAAAGCTTCACTTTTGACCAATAATTAACTTAGTCCTTTCAGTCTTGTAGGTTAAAATTTTTTAAATTAATTTCACCACATCTTTTGGGTTTATTGTGCTTATCTGGAGAGTGATTTCTTAAGGAGTGGGTAATCTGTCTCTCTTTAGAGCTTGAAAGGACAGAGAGGGTCACCTGCTCATCAACGAGTAGAATTGAAGGAGATGGACTAACATTCTGAGACGTCCCAAATTCTGATCCACTTACCTGTTTGTGTATGCAAGTAACAGGATATAACCCCTCATCATTGCAGTGGAGAAAACCCGCTTTCCTGTCATCTGGACAGATTATTGACGGCTATAAAATCTGTGAAGAACGAGCCGGTGGGTTGTCACCAACACCTGCGACCCCCCCCCATCATCGGCAACGGCTACGATTTCAACAACACGCAGTGTCACCAACACCAGACAC